ACACATATTTTAAAGAACTAAAAAAAGACAAAAGGTCATCAATGTAAAGGAGCTAAGTTGTGGACCACAGACTATGTACCAGCTATCTCAACAACCATACATCCTGCAAATGTTTTATTGGTTCTAATCGCAATTGTTCTCTGTAGATTTCAAGTACTTTTGTCAATTATGTTATTGCTTACCATCTCAAACTGAGCATCTAGAATGGATCAAATGACATATACCAACACAGAGTGTGATATGCCTTTTCTCTCCACGCCCTTACAATGACTTGTGAAAAAAGGCACAAGTGTTGAACAGGTATCGTTCTCAGGTATTGGGTTATTAAGGTCAGTTAAGGACAAAGAGTTAGTTAACCATATGTCATATGTTGCTGAGTTAGCTTTGGTCATGGTTATCAAACCTCAAACCAACATTTAAAATTGTTTTTGTATTATGTCCTAACAAACATATTTAGGAATGAATCTACTGTCAATGGCAAAAATCTAAAGAGTATGAAATATACATTATGAAATACTAGCTCCTTTCTATTGTTTTTCAATAATAGTTACGTGCTCTGATTGCCTGATTGTCTTGAAAATAAGACACTGGCCATAATTAAAAAAAAGAAAAGAAGATTGTAGTATCTGTACATAGATATTTACGGGAATTTATAATTTTTATTAAAGCTTGCCCCAATCTTCAACAGTATATTCTGCTCTGTGTTTATTCAGGATAACACAGTTACTAAAAATATAAACAGTAGTCTTGTGGTATTACTGGTGAGACAAGTTATTAGACACATGACTGAAATGCTAGAACAAACCTGGCATGTGATTTGCCAGAATCTAAAAATATGCCTATGATCACGTGTCATTTTGTAAGTATCCATTATGAAACGATCAGATTAGGATAGAGCTTTAGAAACTATCTGGTAGCTTAGTCTCAACAAGATAAAATGTTCTTATGCGTGCAAAGCAGCAGTGACGTGGCATTGGGAACATTTTTGTAGGAGCCAAGCCAATTCAGCTTGGCCTCCCCACAGACAGAGTGCAGTACTCGACCACATAACATTTGAAAACAGATTATCTAAAGTCTTTTCCTTTTTTTTTTTTCTTTAGAATATTTTCCAATGATAATTGTGGCTGCATTCTAAATATACAATACACAATCAAAACAGACGGGGGGGATGTTGCTCCAATAGTGAAACAGAATTCAAAATAGTGACAATATTTCCAGCTAGAAAATGCACATCTCTCTCCTCCCTCCATTGTCGTTTACATTTGTGTTGCTGGCTGCTTGGTATGTATTAAATGTGAGTTGTCCCGACAAGGCGTCTTTCTCTGGGATGCAAAAAAAAAAAGTAAAAGGATTTTAGTATTTTAACCTTTATGCATGATTTTTATGTCATTTATCTTTTGACAATTGTGGTCCGCCAGTAAAAAAAGTTTGCCCGTGCCTGCATTAGATTACTGAGAATAAAATTGGTCATTTTAGAGTAACACGTTCCTAGATTACTAGGTAATGCCTTGGTAAAGAGTTGCTATTACTGAACACAGGTAAGTTCCAAAGCACACAATCCAGAATTCTGACAAGAACAAGACAACGAGCAATTACTAATAATTTTTAATATTACTAAGCACATATATTTCTTACAAAAAGAGAACTTCATCAATCACTCAAGAGGTCCCTTTGGAAAATTAAGGCCCCAGTACCTGTACAGCAACATAAAAATACACAACAATAAAATAGTAGAACAGTATAATACAATACACCTAGCTGCAAACCAGACATGGATTGTTATCAGTATCTTTAGAGATAAGATGGGTCTTTTGTCCTCCCTATGTATTTAAAAAAAACATCTTTGTGGTGTATGTTGTTGAAAAGACATTGTGTTCTGTGTAAGATATAATTATTAATACATGATAATCAAATGTTAATCTAGCATGTCATGCAATTGTTTAGCATATTGTGTTTGTGCATTCTTCCTTTTTTCCTTTCTTGAAGTACATACACATATAATTGCTGTAATCTCGGTGTACTTTTGTTATTTTTACAGTGTTTGGCTAACGCTTTGCCTCAGTTTTGTCTCTTATAATCCACTGCTCTGTAGGCCGACAAGAATGCATTGTTGCTGCCAACTCAAATTCTTATTGGCTTAATAAACAATCTCATTGCAATTCATTTTAAGCTCCCAGTGCATGCATACTATTATATATAAGTATGTGGTTTTACTGGGTTTTTTTTTTTGTCAAGAACATTGTGATATGCATTTACTAGTGCTGTTTCTTCTTTTGCGTAAAAAATGTTACGATCTTACAACCAGGGTAGGACGAACCCAACAAGGGAACACAGTTTACAGTGGTTAAAACAGATTCAGTCAAGTCCTATACAGTTGTTAATCAATGTGCTGATGGCTGGTAGTGCATCTTAGGTAACCCTAACCCTAACAATGCAGTGCGTCCACAGTGAAAAAGCTTGACGTTCCAAAAAACAGAAAAAACAAACAAAAAAACCCTTCTCCAGCACGTGTGTCCAAGTTGCTCAATGCCCAATCTTGCATCAGAAAAAGATGACAAAATCACAATAATGACATTGCACCCTCGGAAATTCTGGTTTCTGTGGCTGACGCTCCCTCAGCAGTTCTTGGTTCGGCTGGTGGAGACTTTGTGACTGTCGATATGCCTTGGTGTAGGAGAGGGACTCCTTACCAAAGACACAAGTCCCCTGGATCAAGGTACAGAAGAAGCTAGGCCAAGTGTTAGGGGACTTGGGCCTGGAATTTTTTTTTTCCCTTTTCTTCCCCTTGGGCCTAGTTTTTTTTAATAGGCCTTGTTTTCAGTTCATGTAGTTCTGTTTCGGTGTCCCACACACTCAACCCAGAGAGTTGGTAGTAGGCTTTTGGACGTCCAGAGGACGTCCATTAGGAGGGGGGTACTGTCAGGTCTGTCTGTTCCTGCTGTCTGCTGTGTGGGGTAATTTGTTATCACACTGACCTGTGTCTGCAATTAGCTACTTATGTCACCTGGTGCTCCCTGTATATATACCTCTCTCCCTCACTCTGGCCTTGTGGGATCATTAATTAAGTGACTGTCTCCGTGTGTGCGCGCTGTCTCTGTGAGCGCTGTATCGTTCGTGCCAGCGTTGTGTCGAGCTTTTTGTTGTAGCTGTTCCTAGTCGGTTCCTGAGCAAGTCTGTTGCTGTGCTCAACTCTGTTCATGTTCTCAGCTCTGCTTGACTTTGCCTATGCTTCTGTCTTGGTTTTTGGAATTTTGAATCTTGAAATAAAGTACCTGCACCAGTCCTGCATTTGGGTCCTGCCTGTTTCCTGCCATGTCGATGGCCAAACGTGACAAGAACTGCTATTTCTTGTGGGCTCAGAATTTTTTTTTACTGTTTTGGCCCGGTACCAAATGACCTACAGTTCTGGGAAACCACACAAGATTGCTACCCCTGTGCTTATAATGGTTTGTAGGCCTTGTTTTTCTTCCTCAACACAGAAGCCACATCTCGGTTGCAATAAAGATAATATTATGCCTTCAGCAACCATAGAACAAACTGACGTAATTGTGTATCTTTTTGAAGTGTTTCAGGGTCAATGTCCCGGCAGGCCACCTTGATGTTATGTCTACCTTGAAATATTCAAACCAATCAAGTTTAATGCTGAGTCTTTGTAGGAACTCATGATCTGGACTTGTCAATGAATTTCAAATATGCATTTTTTTCTTTCCTTCCTTTTCATCCTTTGCATCCATAATCTTTGCTGGTAAGTCCCTGCTGTGTTCTTTCGTTTTGCAGAAATTTGGTTAAAACATTTAAGACACAATTTGAATGCTATTTAACACATTTCTTCCAATAGTTTGTGGCTAAATTCAATGATTAAAAAAATACATTACCATGATAATGTGATTATATAAATATATTTGGATGTGGTATTTAGATGTGTATTAACTCAAAATAAGTTGGTACGTTGCTGTAAATCAGAGGTTCCGAAATTGGGGAATGAAACGTAATGCAGCCTATTGTCCAATGCTCCAAATGCTTTACAATAGATGGTGTTAGGTGAATATCTGATAAAAAATATTGCAAATGAGACTGTTATTTTTAATTCTTCCTCTCATTTGCTGTTGCCTGTTCATTCTACTCAGAGCAGCAGAAGCAGCCATGCACACTGTGCACCCCATCCCTCCTGCCAACTGACCAAAGTTAGCAATGCTAGCATAAAATAGACAAGTTTAGGGTGTG